ACCGAACAGCAGCGAGTAGCCTGCCGGAGGTTCGGCTTAGCCGATCCAGATGTTGGATCGGCGGAGTCGACCTCCTTCTGCACTTCGGGTCGGCCGAACATGCAGAGCATGTTCAGCCGACCCGAAGCCACACGAAGCAAGCCGATGTACGGCCGATTTCAGCCGATGTACGGCTGAAATCAGCCGTACCAGCCTGAAGTGAATAGCCGAACAGTGTTCGGCTCACTTCACTTCAGATCGGTCATTCACTCGGCTGCCCTCGGCAGCTTCGTGAATAGACCCCTGAATGTTATTGAAACTGTGGAGAGTGACTAAACTAATATACACCTAGACTGTTGCTCAACTGTGGCACAAAACAATTCAAGCACTGGTTCCAACAATAAAACCTCACATCCACTCAGGATTAACTGTCAGCTGTTTTGTTGTTCCTCAAAGACTGCATACATACTGTGCCCTAGTGTTACTAACCCATCACTACTATCTCTGCAGCTGTGATCCACAACCAGCTAGACCAGTAGGGCCTGAGCGTTACAATCGCCTGCTGTTTAAAACGATACCAAGAACACGGCTGCAGCAGCGGATGATGTGTATTTACGTGAACCCGCATGAAGTGGTTAAAGCAGCACTCAGACTAGGTAGTAGGAGGGAGTTTTCAGAGACAAATAAATTCCTGCATTTACATGTGCTGACAAGGAGCATGCTGACAGAAATATAGAGCAGAGAGATGGCCTTTCTGTTGCTGCTCCTTCACTTTTCAAACTCTACTCTGTTGCTGCTCCTTCACTATCCAATCAAAAGGCTGCCAGGGAGGAGACTAAGCTGTGTTGTTTAGCTGCAACAAAGAAAAGTCTGGTCATCAGGCTGGCTTTGGAAATCTAAAAACTTAATTGACAGAAATATAAATCCTCTGTCAGGTAAAATTCTTCCTATATATAGGTTTTTAACTGTGTATTTAGCTTTCTGTCTGTAGTTTAGTTTTAAGACTCCATTCACACCTGTAAGTTAGGGTGAGATTAGGGATTCCTGCATCCGAAACTTGAGTTTTCCTACAGCAGGAATCCCTAATCTGCCATAAACAAGTGGCAGCTGTCACCCATTCAAGTTAATGATCGGATGACAGCCGATGTACGTAAACGCCGGCACACCACGTGCGGTTAGAAATCAGTCACTCTCCCTGGACGCATCGATCAGGCGTCTAGGGAGAGTGATTTCATATCAATACATTTACAATGGCCAAACCCAAATTAGATAATGAATGTATTCCTAGAGGCCTCCAAAAATATCCTGACATAGTTGAAGGTGCAAGCCTGGGCATCGCCATAGGAGCAAGACATTTATGTGGCCACACAAACAAATTTAGGATGGTGCATGAGGCTGTTTTTTGCAGCTGCAAGCAATGATGCTTGGCTTGCTTGAAAATATGCTTGAAAATGCCCTGTACACAGTCACTAGGATGATGTAGGTATAGGCAAGATTGTCCAGAAGTTACAAATCAAGATTCAGTAATGTTTGTGCATGAATATTTGAAACTGCATCCCATAGGTTTTAGGGATCCCTGATAATAGGTCTCAGGGAGGAGACTTGGTAAATCATGGATGTAGTTTATTATTATCACTATTTTAAAAATCACAACCTGAATTGTCATTAGACTCAAATAAGAACTGACTGTCATGGTCCAGTTACTAATCAGCTTAAAAATTTACATTTTATATAAAGGCATAACTGATTATCCATATGTCTTGACTTAACAGGTTTCTTAGGTAGGCCTTCATACTATATATCGGTTATAAATGTTACTAAATTAATAGATCATATATAAGAAAACCTAACTGGTGAGTAGCCAGCATTTGTTATAACCCATCCTTTACCTCATTTGGCATGCCTCTCATGCAGTGTTTTAGAATTCTGTACTGAATTCAGGCTTAAGACCAAATTTAAGATTATAAATATAGATTTAGGTAATGCTTGTCTTGTCTTTAATACAATTGCACTTAGTCTTGGCTTGGTTAGTAAAGACTAATGGCTTATCTTCTAGAGCAGGGACACCAGAACAATACCTGTCAGTCATGTTTATACACTTTGATGCATGTGACAGATGCAAACATCACACAATTTTGCATGTTTGTTACACACTCTCACAAAACTCTTTGTTGGTCTTACAATCTGTCTTATTAATTATACTTAGATAGTTCAAAAGGCAGGATATCTTTTAGGGTTATAAAAGAGAGCACTCTCAGCTAGATGCCATTCCTTTAGAGCTAAAATATATAAAACTGCATTGGATATTATCTGAACTTTTGATTTGTGATACATTCCATTTTGATAAGCCAAACATGGACTGCTGTGTCTCTGGTCACTGACAAGTAAGGCCCTATTGGCATGAATTGCCAAAGTCAGCAGAATATCAATCCAGGCCTGCGGTAAGATCCGCTCCTAGCTCTAATCTTTATTCTTCATCTTTCACACATATCAGGTGGATGAAATAAATCTGAGTATATGCAATGGTAACAATGGCGTACTACTAACTCACATATAGAGCCTGGACAGGGTGCCAGATGCCCGTAGCCCTGAAATGCGTGTGAAGTGAAAGATAATTCCGGAACAAGAACAGCAGACGTCCTCCCACAAACTCTATAATGCTACAACAGCTAGCCAAAGTGTATTTTCTGGAGCTGTTTTTGCATGGATCAGTTAAGACAAGCTAATGCCCGCCAAAGCATCTGCACACTTAGGCACACTCCCCCATGTTCATGGCTAATGCAGGAGTCATGGTAGTACCAACAGGTGGTCAAGAGGATTCAGAGAAATCCACATGAGAATCAGCAAAGCAAAATGTCAGAAGGAGGACCAAATGTTGACTGCCAAATGTCTCGCTAGATGATTCCATTACAGGTAGGTCTCTAACACTTCCCAATATTTCGTCCTTCAAATCCATTGAATAGGCAGGAAATAAGGATAAAGCAATAACCAGTCTGTGTCTTGTTTGCGCAGGCTTCTTTTTTCTTAAATTTCCTCCATTTGTGAATAAACTAGGTTTTTGAAGAAATACAGTAAATATGCCTTAGTTTATATCTTCCTAAAAAAAACAAGTGCCCTTCTTTGCTCTTTTTTCTCTTGCCAACAAATGAGGCTGGATTAAAAGGTGGTGAACATACACTATATTGCCAAAAGTATTGGAACACCCCTCCAAACCATTGGATTCAGGTGTTCCGTGAAATTTCATGCTACTAAATATTGCACGGTCAACTGTTAGTGGTATTATAACAAAGTGGAAGCAACTGAGAACAACAGCAACTCAGCCATGAAGTGCTAGGCCACGAAAATTACAGAGCGGGGTCAGCACATGCTAAAGCGCACAGTGTTCAGAAGTCGCCAACTGTCTGCAGAGTCAATAGCTACAGACCTCCAAACTTCGTGTGGCCTTTGGATTTGCACAACAACAAGAGAGCTTCATGGAATGGGTTTCCATGGCCGAGCAGCTGCATCCAAGCCTCACATCACCAAGTGCAATGCAAAGCGTTGGATGCAGTGGTGTAAAGCACACCGCCACTGGACTCTAGAGAAGTGGAGACGTGTTTTCTGGAGTGACGAATCACATTTCTCTGTCTGGCAATCCGATGGACGTGTCTGGGTTTGGTGGTTGCCTGGAGAATGATACTTGCCTGACTGCATTGTGCCAAGTGTAAAGTTTGGTGATGGGGGGATTATGGTGTGGGGTTGTTTTTCAGGGGTTGGGCTTGGCCCCTTAGTTCCAGTGAAGGGAACTCTTAAGGCATCAGCATACCAAGACATTTTGGACAATTTCATGCTCCCAACTTTGTGGGAACAGTTTGGGGATGGCCCCTTCCTGTTTCAACATGACTGCGCACCAGTGCACAAAGCAAAGTCCATAAAGACATGGATGAGCGAGTTTGGGGTGGAGGAACTTGACTGGCCTGCACAGAGTCCTGACCTCAACCCAATAGAACATATTTGGGATGAATTAGAGCGGAGACTGCAAACCAGGCCTTCATGTCCAACATCAGTACCTGATCTCACAAATGCGCTTCTGGGAGAATGGTCAAACATTCCCATAGACACACTCCGAAACCTTGTAGACAGCCTTCCCAGAAATGTTGAAGCTGTTATAGCTGCACAGGGTGAGCCAACTCAATATTGAACCCTACGGACTAAGACTGGGATGCCATTAAAGTTCATGTGCGTGTAAAGGCAAGCGTCCCAATACTTTTGGCAATATAGTGTATGTTAATAGTAGGTTTAAGCTGGCTATAAAGTGAGCGAAATTCGGGTGGAGCCAGGTGAAAAACCGTCAGTCAAACAGCATGTGCATCTGGTTCCAGGCACTGTTCACGTATTTTGACACCAAGCGTGGCTCGACTGTCAAAATACAAAACCACAGCAGAAGATTCTCCCATCCACTCTGTTTAACATGGATATAGGAATCTGTTCAGCCCGAAAGCTATACCCAGTTTTTGTGTCACCAATATACTGATTGAAAATGGCTTTTGCAAAGTGTGACCTATCAATTCCAAAAACGTGCACTGTTAAAAATAGCTAATACTTTGAAGGCTCAACATTTTTATTAACACAGAAATTCAGTAGGGGTTATACAAGAAATAGATTTGTTAGCTTAAAAAAATTAGCATTTCTGTTATTCGGCTGTGACCCTCCAAAAAACAATTCATAATGGTTTAAAGTGCACCTGCAGTTTCCTATTCAGGGCAAAGTAACAGGTTCACCGGATAGCCTGCTTGCACTGTTGCAGACGCCATACTTGCCTTCTCCATGTTTCCCTGCAACTCTGATTGCAAGATAAAGCACTTGATACTTCTGAGTATTTAACAACTTTCTCACCTTCCTCCAACATTGCAGCATTTGATGACTGAGCAGCCAATAACCAGGCCCTGAGCAAGGGTCAGTATCACACATTGTCACAGGTAAAGTTCTTGATATACCAGTTACTGGACCTTTGGAAGCTACTTCATATCAAACCAGCCCTTCCCAGCATTGAACTTATATAATGCTATCATTGGTTTACTGTTAGCAATTTAAAGAAGAACTCTAGGTAAAACTTTTATTAACTGCTTGTTTTTGCTTAGGTTCTAAAAAAAGTTATATTCACCCAATACTCTAAACTGGCTTGCTCTTAGCCTGGTCTTCCAGCCTCTCTCCCCCTCCTCTGCAGTGTCTAAAGTTCTATAAATAATCACGTTCTATACACTGTGGGGGGAATTTATCAAAACTGAGCAGACAAAATCTGGAACAGATTTGCACTGCAGCCAATCAGCTTCTCTCACTCATTTTCACATCTTAGCTGAGAAAACTGAAGAGAGATGCTGATGGGTTGCCATGGGCAACTGCTCCAGATTCTCTCTGCTCCAGTTTTGATAAATTCCCCCCTGTGTATAGATGTGAGAACACATTCTCATGCTGCAGCGTAGGAGGGGACAGGCTTCAGAGACTGGAGAAGCAGGAAGTCAGGTCAACAATTCGGGTAAGTATAACGTTTTTAGCACCTAGGCAAAAACAAGCAGTTAACTCTTGCAGTGCGGGGGTAGCCACACTGCAAAGATTAATAAAAGTTTTCCCCTGTTCTTCTTTCAACCTGTTGCTACCCACACATGAATGAAACCTCATGAATTCAACAAAAGTTAGGGGAGATACTGAAGGACAGACAGCAATGAGTTGCCAATAGGTTTGGATACAGTGCACACTGTAATAAATGGTTATTGGATCTATATATAATTGGGCTACATGAAAAGACTGTTAGGGGTCTATATATATTGTTTTTACACATAATTCACACAACATTTTCACCCAGGAGTCACACATTTTCAACTGAATTCAATTATAAAATTGTGTGAAACCTGGGTGAAAGTTGTATAAATCTTGGGTGAAAACAGTTATAACTAAGCCAGTTAGTGAGGGATGTAAGTGTGGATGTGGGACCTTAGGAGTTATATGTGGTTTCTTGACCGTACAAAGTCAAATACGGTGCCAATAATTTCTTATTTAGTGAACTGGGGGTTGGATGTAGTTTTTATATGTAGATTTTATAAAATCCCCAGGTATGGTTACATTTTGCTAAACATAAGTCCAAATGCATGAGCTTATGCCATAGTGTCAATGGTTCTACAGCCAGTTACTCTTAATATTTAATTTTTCTTTCCTAATGTAATGTTTGCTCCCTGGCAGTATGCGTATGGGACAAGCAAACAAGCTATTAACGCAAGTTTACAGAATGGAATACACTGAGTACATCATTATCTCTATGTCCTAAAATGACAACAGCTGGGAGAGTTTTCACATTGTCTGCAAACAGTTAAGGTAACACATGATCTAACTTGGTAAGTTTGAGAGTATGGGGTTGATTTACTAAAGGAGTAGAGACTGTTCACTTATCATAGATGTGTTCACTTAATCATCATGTCATATGCAAGATTTCCCACTCACATAAATGAGCATTCAAAGACACCATATCTTTACTTTATTTAGTTAAGCTAACACTTAGTAAACATTCACTGCATCCCACTGGTCAAAAGAGTGAGGAAAGCAGTAGAGAGACCCTTTTTGAATTATTGATACAACACACAGTATTAGGGAGCCCTATAATATAATATAACATAATATAGAGTTCACTTTTAGAGGACCCTTTTTGTCAGTTCATTTAAAGTGACATTAAACCCTCAGATTTTTTAACATAAAACAGTACTGTAATGTGTGCCTTACTGTAATCCATGACTGTTTCCCTTCTCTTTACTGCTCTTCCTTTTAAATCTGTATCTCTTCTCATGTTGGACAGAACTTCTGTTTTGCAGCAGACTGCCTTGTCTCTGAAATGGATACATGGTGTCTGTGTGTAGGTTCACAACCTGAGCCAGCACTACAGGAAGAGGCACTCAGCTGCAAAGGGAAGTTCTCCCCAAGCATGAGAAGAGATACAGATTTAAAAGGAAGAGCAGCAAATAGAAAGGAAACAACCATGGATTACAGTAAGGCGCACATTACAGTATTGGTTTATGTTAAAAAATCTGAGGGTTTAATGTCACTTTAAGACAGCAAATCAATAGAACCCAGCAGATCAGGGATCTGGTCTGCAGAAACTGTCCCCATCCAGTTTGAGGAATCTGCTAATATCAAATGTAAATTAAACAGAGGAGGGTGAAGAGGTACCCCAAGCACCAAAATTTGCTTGGGAGAAATAATAACCCAGTCCATCAACTTCCTTCCTGTGAGTTATTAACCTAGGTATGACCTATTAACAAAAATGGACCTTATTTGTATTTCACTCAGCTGTAGATCCTCAAATCATCTCTGAATCCATGCTGACACTGTCCTTCCTTTTTGGAGGTTGGATGCTTTTGTTCCCCATGGTCCCTGTGTGTGTTGTAAAGTAGTAATCATTTCAAGCTCACTCCCATGATGGACTACAATCTTTTGTTTAGTTCACTAATTTGTATTGAGATTGTAGTCCATCATGGAAGTGAGCTTAGTGCGGTGGCTACTTTACAACACACACAGGGATCACGAGGAACAAAAGAAGCCACCCTCCAGAAGGAAGGACAGTGCCAGCACCAATTCAGAGATGATTTGAGGATCTACAGCTGAGTGATACACTAATAAGTTACATTTTTGTCATTCGTTAAGTTATTTGAATGCATTTGTAAGATTTAACTCCGGAGTTTAGTGTCCCTTTAACTGTTCTTAGAAAATGATATACATCCAAACTTAGCTGCACTGGGAAGCAATGCCCTCATATCTTTTGGCACCTTAACTCTATAAAATTTCATGTGAGCACTATCAGCTAGGTAAGTCATGAGTGCTAAAATGAGTAATGACTTTTGATATAAAAAGACCTTGATAGAAATTCAAATAGAGCCTTATAAATAAACAGCATTTCTGCTGGTGCATTTTCAACACAGTAGCAGACATGAATACTTTGCTCGCCATCTCCATCCTACTAGTGGCTGTATACAGTCAAGAACTTTTTGTTGGGTAAGTCATTCACTCATTTCAATGGCCTAGAGGTAAATATAACTGCCATGTTACTGAGCAGAACATCTACTTAGCACCATTCATTCATAATACTAGTAATATCTTGCTTTGGATGTTTCCTGCATATGTTTATACTGAAGGCATACTGACTTATGTTTGTAGGTTCAAAATGGTTTAATAGACCCCTGAACATTACTGCTATTTTCAAACAATGGGTCAGTAAAATTATTGAGAAAAGGACACAATTATTTCCCTCTATTCTTTCTATTTAACCTCTTTCTTATTATATATGTGTTTGCCTGGCACAGTATATAATAGTGTGTGTGTGTGTGTGTGTGTGTGTGTGTGTGTGTGTGTGGCCATATTATGCATGTTTTTGCAAGCATTATAAAATAAAGACATTTTATTATAGAGATCAGGTTCTACGTGTTCAAGTCAAAGATGACACTCAGCTATATATACTGAGACAGCTGGAAAGTATGAAGCATTTACAGGTACCAATAGCTATTCCTATACCTTTCTCAGCCTTTTAACACTTATAATGTAATTGCAGCTAAAGAAAAGCTACTCACAGCAACCAAATTTATTTTAACTAACATCAGTTCACAGATGAATTCAGATTGACCTGAGCTAGGTCAAGTGTATTATAATATATATATTCCCTCCAATCTTTCATCACGTGAAGAAACTCATGTTAAGAGAAGCCAGCTTTTCCATCTTCTAAAAATGGATATGCGTGTTTGTTTCTGTACTTCCATCTAAGGGCCTGTGTCAATGGCTTTTGTTTGCATTAGAGGGGTTTTTATCCCCCATACAAGTCTATGGGAATTGCAAAACCCCCTTGAAGCATGTCAAATGCAGGTCAGAAGGAGGTCAACTTCATGTCAGTTGCGCCTGTCAATGAATTCTGAAGCATCTTAAATTGATACCATTGATACAACCCCAAAGCCCATTGACACAAATCCCTGTATTGTTAATAGTTTTTGACAGACCAGTGAAAGGATAGCCTGCGAGTTATGAATTCTGACAGGATGTTTTAGAGTTCTGCACTTTGCCTTATTGATAAAAGTCTAATTCCTTCTGCAATTGTTTAGACATTACAGTGGTACCCTAAAAAAATCTTAAATGTTAAAGGCAAATGCTGCTGTGAGTACCATCAATATTCTAGCTAACATTATTCTAGTGCACATGTCAAAATGAAATGTAAAATTATGATAATATGTCGTATGTTGTTGTAAGCAGGTGTTACTTTGTTTTTTCATGTTTGAATAAACACAATTTCACAATTTCACAATTTCATTGTGTTTATTCAAACATGTACACGATTCTGTAAAAAAACAAACATTTTTTTAAAGTAAGTTGTCTGAAAAAATGGGCAACAACTTTACAAACAATGTGTACAAAAAAAAGTTAAAAAGAACTAATAGGAACACACTACTAAAAACGAATTTCATGTATGCTGGAACCGATATCATGTGCAGATAAAATGATAACCCTTTTCCGCACATAAGGACTAACTGATATTCACGGTAACAATATTGTTACAATCTATTTATTTTGTTTGAAGATTTCATTTGTACATGAGCCAATGTTAAGACTCCTGATATGCAGAGCAGGATAGGATATCATACTGACATTTGAGTTCTGCAGATCACTCTAGGAGAGTGGCTCTCTCTGTAATCTGTGAGAGAAGACGGTTGGCAACACCTGAACACCCTTACCATTGTTGATCTTCCTAGCCATTGGGCAGACCATGTTGGTACAACTGAACAGTAAATTTTGTTGAAAAGGTGCAAAACAATTTGTTCTCCAACTCTCTACAAGATTGGGCATATTTAGCCAATATTTGTTTCTTGTGTATGTAATACCATATGAATACAGTCTACAGACTGCAATGATATCCCAACTGTAAAACTTTAATGCAGCTATAGTATAAACCTTGCTGAATACAACTTATTTTTCAACTTCTAGCTTTATTGTTGACTAATAACACAGATTACTTGTGTTTCAGATTGATTTTTGGCGCAGTCCTGCAAGGCCTAAACTTCCTGTGGACATGAGAGTTCCTTTCCCTGCTTTACAGAATGTTAAAGTGTTTTTAGAATCCAACAATATTGAGTACTCCATAATGATAGAAGATGTTCAGGTAACAAATATGTGTTTTAGAAATGGATAATGCATTCTAATGTATTAGTCATGTTTTGTTATTGTGTCGTGCACCTCTGCACCGATTTCTTCAAGGACCAGAAAACAATAGCCCAGTTTGTGGAAATAATTGTTCAGATTGCCCAACAGTCTATATGTACAGTTTGGTTGCCATACATGGCACAGTAATATTCTATACTTTAGCCATATCAAATTTAGTACTGGAGTAGCGAATTACTCCTACCTCTTGTTCTGTGATACTCTCATTCAACACCCAATATGTGTGACATTTGGAATCTACGGCCTGCAAACTGATTTTCCTCTCTGCGTGAGGTGTTGTATTTGAAGACCTTAACATTCAGACTATACAATAATATTATAGTAGCCCTAAATAACTGGTTCCCCATTTATGTTTATTTTAAATACTGAATGTACATTACAATCCTTCCTTTAGGAATTACTGGATCAGGAACACAAAGAAATGAAGGAGTCAAAATCCCGGGAAAGATATTCTAACAGTTTTAGCTATTCTTCATACCATACACTGGATGAGGTTGGTATAGTTTCAGACTATGAGATTTGAATATCTATGCAGAATCACACATTCAGTATGTGCTGGATCTGGTACATCAACACTGACAAAGGCAAAACAAACAAAATTTAGGCCCCATAATTTTGTACCTTTCTCATATCTGCCCACATGAGCATGTACTAGCTGTACATTCATCAGTAATAAATACATCAACAGACAATTCCACTATTACACTGAGCACAATGGAAGCAGATCATTCGGGGCCACAGAAATCACTTTTATTGGGGTGGCACCTATAGTTGTAGTATGAGCTGGTATGGTACTAGCTGTACTAGTCATAGAAATGTAAGAACTGCCATTATTAATTTATTTTTAATGGTGCTAGTTCCAGGGTTGTCATCCTTATTCTGACTCTACCTAATGTATCTCCTTTACCTAGCAGTCAGGCAGTGTATAACTGAGGCCAAATTCACATGCAGCACACATGGTAACGCACATACGCAAGCCCAAACAGTTTACCTTTCCCTATCACACCAAACTGCATTACATAGATGTAAACCAGCCACATAGGAACTATTTGGATTTCTACTAGCAATGCATCTTCATGCAGCAAAATATATGATTTTTGCATTAAAATTGGGCAAGAGTAAAAAGGCCTCATTTTTAGTTTCACGAATAAAAAAAATACTTTAAGTTACATTTGTATTATCATTTCTGCATTACACTGGTAAAAAAAAGAGAGGGAAAGAGGGGAATCAGGTCTATAAACATCAGCAGTTTCTAATATACGTTGAAAAGATTTCATATTTTGCTTTAACATGTCAAATGAATATGCAAGATAATTAATCTGAATAGCCTTTACTTGTATTTTATTGCTTTAACAAATGTTTCTGTGAAAACAGAAGAACTTGTTAAAGACAACCTGATACTAAAGAAGAATGTGAGCGATTGCCTGTTTAATGCCATGTTTTTTCATTAACATTAAAAACATATTTCAGCACAACACTAGCTAACACTTATCTTTGTACTAAAATATATTTGGCAGAAGTGAGAACACCAGTTAATGGATTTCTAAAGTTCACTCATACTATGGAATATGATGACACCGTAGTTGGAAAAGACTAGATATGTAACCCCACAACAAAATAGTTTTGTTTTGTTTTTCGGATCAATTCCTTTTTTTATTTCTTTCTTTATTTAATAAGGGTAAATCTGGTTACCATCAAGACAGTAATAAGGGAGAAAGCTTCCAAAGGGGACATAGACATGGATGACTCTGGTGGTGTTATAGATGTGTATATTGTCATTGTTTTCTTCAAAACAAAGAACACCTATGCTTTTTGCCCTTTCTGTGCTAACCTTGCCCTCCTATATGCACACTTACCTTGAAATTGTGCCTCGGAGGTTTGCTTACACCCTGCTACCAATCTTCTTTGCCCCGGCATCACGTGCATAGTAGCTTTCCATAAGGTTCCATGGGGCTCTCTTTAAAGAAAAGTGTGAAAATATTTTGGACACCACAGTCTTCAATTAGTTTCCAAGTACAAACAAGCAAAACGTCTGCTTATTGTTATTTGCATGGCACATACCAGTTTAACACACATTATGCAGTTGTATTAATTTTTCTCAGATTTACAGCTGGATAGACAGTCTGATAATGGAATACCCAAAATTGATCAGCAAGATTGATATCGCTCCGAGCTCTGAAGGTCGTCCAATTTATGCATTGAAGGTGAATGATCTGCTATTTTCATTTCTACAGCTTTATTTTCTTGTAGGCAAATGTACATAAAAAAATGAGAATAGACAAACAAGGGATACTATTACTATCATTCCAAATTAAAAACTTGGCAGAAGTGATTAAATACAATATGTTATTGTAGATCGATTGATCGGATTTTAAAGGTACCGGTCCACTTACATGCTTGGGTCACTGTTAAATGCATACATAGTCCCACCCAAAAAAATCAATCAATCATGAGAACCTATTCCATTTTGACTATTAATTTGAACCAGGGTGATAAAGCAGATGTAGTTTTGAGGTGTTGAATGATATGTAATCATATGTCCCACCTCAGTTGGGATTGTATGTTTTTCATTTTTACTATGTGGGCTATTCACAAAGCTGCCAAAGGCAGCCGAGTGAATAACTTAACCAAAGTGAAGTGAGCCGAACTATGTTTGGCTATTCACTCCGGCTCAGTATGGCTGATTTCATATGGCTCAGTATGGCTGATTTCAGCCGTACATCGGCTGAAATCAGCCATACATCAAGTGCCTTTGGTTGCCCTTCGGTCAGCCGAACATGCTCTGCATGTTCGGCTGAGCCGAAATGCAGAAGGACTTCGACTCAGCTGATCGAACATCTGGATCGGCCGAGCCAAAGCTCCGGCAGCCCACTCGCTGCTGTTCATCCCTATTCTCATAGTGGCCGCACGACAGTGAGTGAATAGCCGAATATCGCTGATCGGCATTCGACTCAGCAATTCTGCTCGGTACCTCTGTGGTACCGAGCAGAATAGAAAATCAGTGAAAAGAGTAAAAAAAATAGGTTGAAAAAACAATTTTTTAAAATGTATACGAATAGTAAAATTAAAAAAGAAAAAATATATATTGTTAGAAAGAAAAAAAATTATAATAAAAAAACAATTGGGCGAAGCTAGCAATGACAGCTAGCTCTCCCCAACTGTTTCCTTTTGGCTGGCACCTGCTGGAGTCTTCTAGCAGATCCCGGCCAATTAACAACATCTGGGCGGAGTCGGCCGTGATGCCATGGCAGGCTCCGCACAGATGTTGTTGTTTAATCACTGATCAGAGTCCCCAGGTCATTTGTGGAAGCTGATCTGTCATTACAACTGAGATCACGACTGGCTTCGCCCCGCTGTCATTTTCGGGGCTTAAAACCGGCCTTCAGCAGGCCGTTCGCCCCGCTTTGGCTGTTACTTCGGCTCAGTGAATAGCCCATACAGCAGCCCTTTGGTTCGACTGAACCGAAAGGCTCCGGCGGCCGAAGGGAGCCGAAGGATCAGCCGAATCTACAACTGGATCCTTCGGCTCCTTCGTGAATAACCCTACATATGTTTTGTACCTGAAAATTCATAGTGTAGTTCCAGACAGCAGGTAAATGCAATCAGTGAGCTATTTATGGTAAACAGAAAACACATCCCTGTGCAAAAACTGGAACTTTCACTCAGTATAACTCAATGTAAATTCTCTGTAATCCAGTGCACTACGACTGCACACAAACTTTCTAATAGAATAACCAGAAGGAGTAGACTTTGTGCATTTCATGAACTTCCTCTCTACTTCCTGTATGACCAATCACACTTAAACCTTCAATGTGGGGTTGAATTTAATTGAAGCCTGTCAGAAGCTTTTTATTATTGGCTTTTTCACCTATATATAAAAGGCGGCAGGGAGCATAAACATTTTAGATCCACTGGAATACCAACAAAAGCTAGCAGGATGGATTGAGGCATTACAGTAATGAGTGGATGAACGACTGAGCAGGAGCTATGCTCCCAGCATGCGACTCAAGCCTTAATTTTCAGTTTTAACGGGAACATACGTCTAATGATAATAAAAGAGAAAGTTGTGTCTGTTTGAATACAAACAGTACAAAATCATCTCTCTTCAATATGGCCATATGTTTGCTTCTGCTGTCATTTTTAAGGTTTACAAAAGTCTGATTGACTGATGTGTTTTCTTTCCTAGTTTAGTACTGGAGGTAATAAGCCAGCCATTTGGATCGACACTGGAATTCATTCTCGAGAGTGGATTACTCAGGCCACTGGAATATGGACAGCTAAAAAGGTATTAGGCAAATCAATTCAGACTGGCGTATCTATCTAAAGAGGCATAATGTTCAGATTTCTTATCATTCATAAATAAAAAATGGTTTTAATACCAAAAAAAAAAAGGTATTTACCATACAACTTGTTGTGTGTGTGTTAACAGATAGCAAGCACTTATGGGATTGATCCATCGCTTACTTCTATATTGGACAATCTGGACATTTTTCTAGAAATTGTGACAAACCCAGACGGATATGCATATACCCATAGCACGGTAAGGTTGGATTCAGTTCCCAGACATTTGTGGCTTTAACTAGATTTTCAGCATTTTTAACAGTTTAAACACAGGTACATTCTTCATCTTAGCACCAGCTGTGGCACTTTCTCCAGCTTGCTGTACTTATCTGTAGCTTTCTGTTTCAGGTGGGAAGACAGTTGCTAGGCAATATAATATATCAGTTTATGTCTGCAATTTATTTGTGCCTGCTGTTTTAGCAGAGATCATTAGCACAGAAAAATTGCCTGCGGTTTTCAAAGAAGTTTTGGTTTGTGAAAATGTGTCCTTACAGGATGTCTATCACTTCATCAAGTGGAATATATTCCCAAACTGCTGAATGCACCTTAGTGCCTGTGGTACAGTGTCCCTGTCCCAATTGTCAATAATATACAGCAATATACATTCTGCCGAGGGCATGCTGAGAATATACAAAAACAAACTCTATACAGTGCACAGTCATCTTTCTTAAAAACTTGCATCTGCAATACAGAGAATACACAAGAAACTGAACTATTTTCTTGCTGTACTTTGTTTTTCATTGATGATCTAGAATCGCATGTGGAGGAAAACCCGGTCCATCAATGCAGGCTCTTCTTGTGTTGGGGTGGACCCAAACCGTAATTGGAATGCTGGCTTTGGAGGTACGCAATCATTTATTATGCCAGTTAATATCACAACTGCCAAACTCCTGTTGCTTGAAGGGAAGAGTGTTGTATTTTAATAAAGCTTATTTATTTATGTTCATTACCAAAAATTATATAATTTTATATTTTTGATTTGGATTTTAAATTGCAGGTAGTAAGGCAAAAATAGAAAAGGCTTTTTAAGCTGCTGTTGTGCTCTGACTGTCTCAGAGGAGGGACATGCTACTTCTTTCTTTCTTATCAGAAAATCTAAAAATGTCAGTTACATAGACCAACAAGCATGCACGCAGTGCTGGGGCTTCATATTAGAAAACCCATCATGCTTTACAAACTCAGTGTTTTGAATGAATCTTGTAATAACTTTTGTTAAGTATTTTTATAAAATAATTTCAAAAATTATCGAAAAGCATACATTTAGAAACAGTCAAAAACATTTAAATAAAAAATTATCAAAGCCATGGGTACTTTAGCAACAATTCAAATGATAGAACTTGACAAAAATGAAATAAATGATTTATTCAGTTGCTTAGTACAGACACTGTGTTAGTTTTTTAACACAGTAATTATTTTGGTGGAAAATTGGCTACCAGGCTTGTTTGGTATAGCTGGTATCATAAAGACTAAGTGCTTAGCCTTATATTGGAACACCAGATGGTATCTGTCAAAAAAGTGTGCAGTCCTTAAATCTTGACATTCTAGAAGTTGTAATGATTTGGTAAGGAGTTTTAATAACACATTTCTAGGGGTCCTAAAACTATAACACAATAATAGTTGGGATTACAGAAACAGAACCCTGAAACGTAAGGCTATATCTGTTTGAGCACCTCTAGTGTAAAGGACAGTAAAGTATAATAACTTATAGAAATCAGCTTTAACAAGCTGTAATAAGACTGATAATAGCTGGTATGTGATTGGTTGCTATGGATGCTATGGATTTTATGTTACTGAATAGTAGGATGTTATAAAAAATTATTGTTATGCGCAACCCTCTGAAAAAGGTGTAACTGGGCAAAGCTATATCATACATTTATGAATTACTAATAGATAGAGGAGCAGACACATCTGTAGTGTTAAAAGAGTAAGAGGATGTGCACACAACCGGTAGGTTTCTGTCTCTCCAGTGTCTCTTTTTTTATCTATTTCTCCTTTCGCTAATTGATGTAAAGTAGAAGAGTGATGGAGGTTCAAACGGAAATCATTGATCTCTATTGATCAGCACAAAATAGGGTAACTAGAGAAAAGAGCAATGTCCCTACAGAAATGTAAACATCCATATTCCTGTTACTTTTTCATCTCTGAAAATATGAAATAACATTGTGGGAGAAATTAAAGCAAACACCTGCATGCCCAGCATTTAACTGCAAAGACTAATTATTGCATTACTTTGAAACTGTATAAAAAAAGCAAAGGAAAAGCATTGAGAATAATAAACATGCTTTATTGCAGGACCCGGTTCCAGCGGCAATCCATGTGCTGAGACGTACCATGGACCATATCCTCATTCTGAGCCTGAAGTTAATGCTATTGTGGACTTTATCCTAGCGCATGGTAACGTAAAGGCTATGCTCACCATACACAGCTATTCTCAGATGCTGCTGTTTCCTTATGGCTACACGAAAAATCTTGCAGCTGATCACCAGGAGCTGGTAAGAATGAGCAACAGGCAGGAATTATGTGTTGAGTGTATATTTTTAATGCTGTGTTTCCTAATTACAAATGCCAACTAGAGATTAAGGAAGCTTATTGCACATATGCTAACATTCTAAACAACCACATGGGCTTTCTGCATACCAACTAGCACACAACCAGCCAAGATTTCTAAGCAGGGGTCTAATGTGGCTCATCAATGTCTCCATAAAGTAGGTGAGACAGGCCACTTTCATCTAATTAGAATGGATTCAAAACTTATTAAATATTTTAGGCACCTTTAATTTGCCAACTTCTATCTAGAGGTAGTGTTTCATGTAAATATAGATATCATGATTGCTGAATTCCATTTGAAGGATTCGTATGAGCACTACATTGATATTTTTCAGTGAAGAACAGTTTATTTGGGGCGGGGGGGAATTTGTTTCAAGGCATAAGTTGCTTTCATCAAACATAATGGGGTTGATCTACTAAAGGTAAATAGACCATTAATTTTGGAAGGGAATTTGTACATTGCAGGAGACGTTTCCCTCAGCTCTGTGAATGTGGTAAAATTTCACTTTGGAAAGAATACCCAATCACGTGCAAAGAAAATAAAAACAGTATTTTAACTTGCACATAATTGGATGATGGAAGTCAGCGAAGCTTCCCCTCAATCACTAAACTTGGAGGAAACCAGCCTTGCAAAGTGAACAGTAGACATGTGCGATTCGTTTCGTTCCGAATCGAAATTCGGACGAATTTTCGGAAATTCGGACATTCGGATGTATCCGAATTCCGAATTACAGACATAACGAATGCAAACGAATCCGAATTTCCATTTCCGAAATTCGGTAGCGTTCGTACGAACGTTCGTTTCGTTTTCTGTTCTTATTCGTTTCTTATTCGTTTCGTTCGTTGAAATCAAAGTGACATTAGAGAAGGAGAAAAATATTTTTTCCCCCTCAAATGTCACTTTTGCTGCAAACGAACGAACGAAACGAATAAGAACAGAAAACGAAACGAACGTTCGTACTAACGCTACCGAATTTCGTCCGAATCCAAATTCCGAATCCGAATTGACTTTCACACCCGAATCCTGAAAAACGAAATAACACAAATCCGAATTTAAAACGAAACGAAACACATTTTTTGGCAGTGCACATGTCTAGTGAACAGCCTATTTACCTTTAGTAAATCAACCCCAAGGTGTCTCTTACATTGGGCCTAAAGTTTAAAGGAAATAAAGCAGAGTCTCATGAATAGCCCCACAGCATAAATGCATGTTGCAAAAACTCTGAAGATAAAATTGGTTCCTGGTCACAAGGTCCCTTCCTGGTCACAAGGAACCTAGGCCTTTTATGAGCATCTTGGGAGATTGATGCCATCATGCTTCTTCCCCCTTATCTGTTCAGTGACTGAATACTTCTGTGGTCTAACTTTTTATATTTATCTTCTTATTGTAAAGTTTTTGTTCAGAATGTATTTGCATTTTGGTCATGTTGTGGAGCCACCCATTAGATTGTGCATGGTTTAGAATTTTAGTCATGACAATTTTGTCATTACATGTTTACAAGTGCACAGTCACAATGAGACATGTTTAGAAAGATGGGCATGAAGAAAATACAGGAAAGTCAAATCATCTAATTGAAGGTGTGTATTGTTAACTGTGTAATCTGCCCCAGAAGCAAGAAACACTGGATTTGATTACTCACTGTGGGAAACATCTTTAATATGCTTTGAGCTAAATATATCACATAGTCCATCTGAAAGATAAACATATTAAATCCCTGGTATATGTGTGAGCCTGATCAAATGTAGAAAACAAAGAAATATTTATAGTGATTTACATCAATCTCATCTACAAAATCCACAACAAAGTACATAATAAAGCCAGTAATTGTTAGTCACATTCATCTGGACTCTGCTGAACATTACAGAACAAGTCCAGTTGAACCTGAGCCACTACTACTATCTAAAGTATACTATGACCTTTACAGACAAAAGGACCTGATGTTCCCCAGAGTTATGTTCTATAAACAAGTAAACAATTGTATTTTCAGAATGAACTGGCCAAAGAAGCTGCTGATGCTCTAGCATCTTTACATGGAACTCGGTATACATATGGCTCCACCATTGCTACCATTTGTAAGTAGTCACACAGGGAATTGTGCATGTTAAATCCAATCAAGAATTTAGGAGAAGAGAAATTGTGGCATGAGAGAGCTATAAGTGTGGTGGATGTAAAGAGTGAAAGGTTAGCTTATGTGTTTGATTACTTACAATGTTGTTGGCTGTGTGGAACTTTGAAGTCTTATTCATCAGCATTTCCAGGGGCAATGTGTGGGGTGTAAAACTTCTAACGCCCTGTGAAAACCCAACTACTGTCTGGTTTCAGTAAAGTAAAATCTAATTTGTTGTTATGCCTATCTGCACTTTATACCTTGCACTTTACTCCTTGCAGTGTTTTATATTTAAGGCAATTATATGGGACAAATGCACTATTTGCTTGCAGCTTCTGCTATACAACTACTCTCTCTAGAAGTATTATTCCAATTTAAAGCTGATACTTGATCTGCTCATATTTTGCCTTCCATGGTTCCTCCCTACCTATTAGCAACATGCCAATGAAGTCTAAAAATAAAACTTTTATGTTTTCATTATATATACCTTATTTTAGACCCAGTGATGTTATCACTGGGTCTCTGCACTTCTCTATACAATGTTGGCAGGTTGTGGCTGGTGGGAGGGGTCTGACCTTTGGGAGGAGTTATGTATCATGATGCCTTGCTAAGTGTATGCCAGTATTTAGGAGTGGCATTTTTAGACAGGCTGTATTTACATGCAGGCCACCCTATGTTCACCCACATGAGATGCTCAGCCTCCATGATTAACGTTGTGCACTACTGCGCAGTGGTTAGTGTGCTTTTGTAGTTTAAAGCATCTTACTAGGAACATACTCTATTCAGATGCTCTGCAATTCAAATGGCTTCTGAATATCAATGTAAACCTGACAATATCCAATGGTACTGAAATGCTCCAGCATTAAACTTTCCTAAACATGTCATTATGTGTATACCACTACAGCCTGGGTGCCCCAAAACTGAACTTGGTATAACTGAGGGTCAACACAACCAACGCTTCCTTTTAGTGTTGACCCTTTTTCTGTCCATCCTCTTGAAAGTTCCTACTGGCCCATCACTATGGTGGACAGCCTCACAAGTAATAGAAACAAATGAGGGGAGAGAGGAGGTGGGGACAACACTTGAGACTATCAAGGAGTCTTGACACTTGCCATGTACTGTAGCTCAGAGTTTATGGTAACCTGGCTGCAGAATAAAGCATCTGAAGGTATATGCAGGCACCATTTGCCTGCAATGTTGTGCTGGAGATTGTCAGTCCCATTCTAGAATTGGAAGATATACTTTAAAGAACAACTTCACCTTTAGCGATGTTGTCCTTTAATTAAAACACCCCGAGTGCAGCCAGCCTGGGATTAAATTTACCTATATTCCCCAATCTAGCAATGTTACCTTTGACAGGGTGCCAGCACCTCTGCATACTGCTCATGTGCACTATGGCCCTATTCATTCCCGGGCTGTCTACAGTCACTCAGAATAAAGCTTTCGCTATAGGAATTTATGGGGCTGCAAAGTGAAGAGAAGCCAGCCAGGACCATGTTGGAGGTAAGATTGGTGTAGCAAGGCTAAAGGTAGTTATAATGCCAGGCTGGCTGCACTTAGGGGGATGGGTGGGTCTCTTAAAGGACAACTTAATGAATCACACAGTTATCCTTTAAGCTATCTTTTACAATGTTTATTTTTAAATGATGGTTATGTTTTGCTGTCCTTTTAGCTATGAATACTGCCTAGTGATGTTCTGATTTGATTTGATGACAAGTTGAGATATGGAGCTAACAAAACAAAGATGGCTGCTATGCTATCCAGTATACAGTATACAGCCCCTCAGAGAAATGAAAAAGTAAATTTCACTGGCGCCAGCACACGCAACTATTCATGAATAACGCACAAGTACACTCATGAGGCAGCTCCCACTGGTTAGGGTAAACCGGAAAATCTAAGAAACATAAAACAAAGGAGCGCCTCCATAGTGTAAAACAGTTTTAATAAAGAAAAAAGAACAGCTAGGACTGTACTTGCAAACGACTTTTGAATTCAGGCATGTAACATTGGATGGATATAGGAAACCACAGAGTTTGCAAATCGAAAAAGTTAGTGCTGCACCAGAGTCTTCTAACTGCAGGTCTTCCACGGATTGATGCGTTTCAGAGGCCACACCCCTTTCGTCAGAACCTATGTTAGGTTCTGATGAAAGGGGTGTGGCCTCTGAAACGCGTCAGAACCTGTTAGGTTCTGACAAAAGGGGTGTGGCCTCTGAAATGCGTCAACCCCGTAATAATTTTGCGGTTCCTTGTGTTTTTTATTTTTTAATGACTATTTTGTAACAAGTTTACAGAGTGTCTTAATTAGCCGCCAATTGGAGTTTGATACTTATTTCTTTGAGATTATAGGTTACTCTGAGTGTACCTCTCCTATCTCCTACTTCAAGAGTTTTTGCTGTTTCATCCTAGATACTCTCAACTAGCATGTTGTATTTCTAAAAAAACCTTTTTGTGTCCTTTGGAAAACACTGTATTTGTATGCGTTCGTTTTCACTTTAAAAGTTTAATAAAAACAGATTTAATCATAAATATGACACATACTTGACAGTAATGTATGCAGACTTGTAATGTTATCAACTTAATGTACCCTATATAGATCAGGCGGATGGCACAACAACTGACTGGGCATATGACAATGGCATAAAATATTCCTACACCTTTGAGTTAAGAGATACTGGGAGATATGGCTTCCTCCTTCCTGCTGAACAAATCCTACCCACAGCTGAGGAGACATGGCTGGCACTAATGACAATCATGGAGCATGTCAGGGATCACCCCTACTGACACTCCAGAGATGGTCATTCTAATATGCTAAGTCTATGTCTTAAGCATCTTTAAATAAATCAATTAACTGCTATTATCACTGCAGTGTGAATTATTTGTTTATTTAACAAGTGATAAATATACCGCAAAATACTACTTTGTCTTTAACTGTTTATATTTTCAAGTGTATGTCCAGGTATAGCTTTTTTTCTAAGTTTTAGATAGAGTGGGATCAGATTGTTACTGCTGTCCAGGGCTCTGTTTAAGAGATTTCCTCCCACTTCTTGTAAAGCTAACAATGTTTTTTCCACAGCAACACAGACAGATTATTATTTTTTTGAGGAAATGAAGGGGGAAGGTTAAGAAAAAAAATTGCTTGGAGTTTTTATTATTGTAGTATTACAAAATCCTTATATTGTTTTTACATGTTTAGATACATCTAGCATCCAGCACACATATTTTTAACTTTAGATCATTCTATCCTAGGCAATTCCTGGGATTTAATCATAATGATTTGAAGTAGAGTATGCAGTACAAAGACAGAACAGTAGAGGGAACTAGCCAGCCAAATATCTTAATATTTGCTGGTTGCTCAACGGAATTTATGGTTTGCTTTAATCAACACATTATTAATATTTGTAAATTCAACATATTCCATATTTTAAGAAAGCTTTTACTATTAACTATAGTGTGATGCTGAAAGCAGTTGTGAACACACAAAACTGACACTGCAAACTGACAACACTCAGATGATGATAATGCCTATATAGGTGAACATTATTATGTTGTGTGATGTAATTGACTTTAGGCACAATACTTGCCCAATACAGTCTGATATTTGGAGCATCAGTTGTTTTAACATATTCTTATGGTGCATTAATAAATATTTTTTTCAGTGTGTGTGTGTGTAGTAGTAGTACCAAAGTATATGCTAGTGGTAATTTAAAGTAGTATTCAACTCTCAAACATTTTTTTCAAAAATGAATCCAGATCAAACAAATATACATAGCAGGCGTGGCTGTTAAAATGCAGCCACTGCTGTGTAAAATGACACTTTCAGATGGTCTGCAAGTGTCAATGAGTAATATAGTGTAACATTGGAGTGTCACATAGTAATAGGGATGCACCGATACCAATACTAATATTGGTATCAGTGCCGATACTGAGTTTTTGGGCGAGTACTCATACTCACCCAAATGCTCTTATACCTTCCCGGATACCGGAACTTCGGGTCAGAGGAAGTAGGGGAAGGGGAGCATGGTGTGCCGTAGGGGAACATGGAGGAGGCTTCCCAGGCAATCAGGAAGCCAGGTGGCAAGTAATAGACATGTGCGATTCGGTTCGTTCCAAAAAAAAAAAATTACAACATTTTCCCTCTACAACACTTTCTTTGGTTATAAGTTCAGAGGCAATAGTGTAGTGGTTAGAGTCCTGGTTTGCCATTGTCAAGGTTGCAGGTTCTAATCTAGGGACTGACCTGAACTGAGGCAAGTTAAGCCTGCAGTTCTTTGGATGTTGTTGTGGGGTCTTTTGTGACTTCTTGGATGAGTCGTCGCTGCGCTCTTGGGGTAATCTTGGTTGGCCGCCCACTCCTGGGAAGTTTGTTTTCGCCATTTGTGGATAATGGCTCTCACTGTGGTTCACTGGAGTCCCAAAGCTTTAGAAATGGCTTTATAACCTTTTCCAGACTGATAGATTTCAATTACTTTGTTTCTCATTTGTTCCTGGATTTCTTTGGATCTCGGCATGATGAGTAGCTTTTGAGGATCTTTTGGTCTAGTCACTTTGTCAGTCAAGTCTTATTTAAGTGGTTTCCTGATTGCGAACAGGTGTGGCTAGAGAAATTGAACTCAGGTATGATAAACCAGAGTTAAAGGTGCCCATACAACTTACGATTATCGGACAAAACTTTTCGTCCGATGATCGAACCATCGTACGATTTTCGTACGACGGCCCCATCCTGCCCCGACTATCGCAAGGTTCAATCAGCGGTAGTTAAAAAAAACACCTGGATGACTTATGGTAATTGAGCGTAATTATTTTCGTTTGTGCATGCGCAGTGTTAATCGTACGACTTTTGACGGACGGAAATGCCACCAACCATGCGAACATCGTACGATCGACCAAAGTGTTCAAACATGCTTGACCGTCAAAAGTCGTACGATTGTACAGTACTATCGGTCGGGTACTACATTCACACGTTACAATTGTCGTACAAAAAGTCGATTGCATACGATTATCTTACAATAATCGTAAGGTGTATGGGCACCTTAAGTTATGTTTTAACAGGGGAGGCAAACACTTTTTCACACAGGGCCATGTGGATTTGGATTTTGTTTTCCCTTAATAATAAAAACCTTCCTTTAAAAACTGCATGTTGTGTTTACTTGTGTTATCTTTGACTAATATTTACATTTGTTTGATGATCTGAAACATTAAAGTGTGACAAACATGCAAAACAATGAAAAATCAGGAAGGGGGCAAACACTTTTTCACACAACTGTAGGTACTAGAATTGAAGTGGTTAAAATAAGACCTGTTGATCCTGCCATGAAGGTTTTTGTTCAAGCACATACTCCCATGGGAGACATTTACCTGTTTCTGTCTGTAGATATCCCATTGCACACCTGGCCAATGTGTCCCTTGTAGTTTATTGCGAGTGCTGTAGTAACTAGTGGATAGCGCCAAGGTAGATACACATAGAGAATGAGTGTAACAACAGTGGACTATGCTCTCTTTGTAGCCACCTTATATCTACATGTATGCATTCCAGTGATGGCTGCATGACATTTCTCAGGGCAGATTTCCTGATTGTAACAACAGTGGACTATGCCCGTATAATGTGTGTTGAATCCACTACTTGTTGTGTCCATCGCAAGCCCATATAAGCTGGTGACATTTAAGGATCAGAATTGGGAGACAGGAATAGAGAATAAGTTCCCAGCACACTGTCATTCCTTCATCAAAAAATGTCTGTTGTTGATGTTAGTAGTTCATCATATCACAAAGATAAAGCAATGTTTCAGGAGCACGTAGGTTCCCTCTATCGTGGTCCCAAAACTTTGCTTTATTCTTGTGATATCATGAACAACTAACGTCTCTTTCTATGTTTTTCTTGCCACTTTTACCATGTTCTTGTTCTTTTCTTTTGTGTGTTCCTTTTCCTTCCTGTTTATCTTATTTATCTATCCTTCTTTCCCTTTCTTCCCTTCTCTTCCTCATTTCCTCTGTTCCTTTTTCCTAACTTATGTGGACACTTTCTATCACATCATGGCCGATTGGTTGAGATATTTCCATCTGGGATGCTGGTGGGTTCAGGGAGCTCCATGGATCAGTCCGTGGTATAGGTTCTGTGGCCTTCATTACTCTCACTAGCAGTACCCCTATACGGGTTCGCTACCTATACCTCCCCTACTGGGTCTGTTAGTTGGTTTCATGTATCTCAGGTTTGATCTTCCTTTGTATTTACAATTTGATACTTCTCTGGAAAGTGTCCTCTACCCATTCTACTTTGTCTTTCTTGTATTAAGATCTCAATAATATTTCTAATATTTAAAATACTTTATTTTCTATGCTTTTATTTGCAATTGTTTAGCTTGGTGACAGGGTCTCTGGTGTTACATTGTTTTTTAAACAGCACTTAAATGATTACTGCTCCATTTTTAAGTAAAGCAAGTTATATAACAGCTCTAATAATGTAAATAAATACTAAGGATGCACCGATACCGATAATAGTATTGGTAGAGGTACCTATATCGAGTATTCGGTTGAGTACTCGTATTCGCCCAAATGCTCCCAATGCCTATCCCGATACCAGAACTTCCAGTATCAGCAGTATGACTCGCCGCCTGGCTTCCTGATTGGCTGGGACGCAGGCTCCATGCTCCCTCGTCACCAGGGAGCATGGAGCAGGCTTCCCAGCCAATCAGGAAGCCAATGGGCAGGTAATGACTTGCCTCCCTGGCTTTCTGATTGGCTGGGAAACTGACTCCATGCTCCCTCGTTACTTGGTGAAAAATATGGTACTCGTACTCGATACCGAAAAACCGATATCGGTGCATCCCTAATAAATACATTGCAATGCTCTTTAAGTGTCACTAAACTCAATAAAAAACTCAAAAATAATATTCCTTACATTCATAAGTAGCCATCTAAATTCCTTTAAATAGCAATGCGAGATTGTATATGCAGAAACATACTCACTTACTTTTTGAGGGTGGCTATGTGGGAAGTAGCCGCTCTCCTCGGCATGTTCCCAATATGAACTACTGTATCAACTATCAACTCATCCAGTGCCACCAAGAAAAGCTTCTTTCTTATGCGCAATTTGCCCCTTCATCACAACCCCTTCTATATGACACTCAAGTAATCTTGGGAGATGTAGTCGTACCTCAAAAGTGGAAGTTTGGAACAAGCCCTTCTATTGACAGTATGGTAAGGAATGAATCAGGATGCTGAAAAAAAAAGGTAATTAAAAATTGTTTGTTGAATAAAATCAAGAGGTGTTTCTTTGGAAATCACGCTGGATTGGAAAGTTATTTTTAACTAACATGGTGACTGTGGGAAAGGAGCACATTGTGAGTTTTCAACTCTAGATTAGTAAATTGAATTTTTGCACTTGGCCCGTTATTCCAAGGACTCGTTGCTGCAGGAGCTCAAGAAAACAAGCCTCTTACTGATAAGTGTTATGTTCTATGGAATTATAGGAGAGATATATTGGGGCTTATTTTACACATAAGTAACATACATTAAAACATGCCACAGATACTGCTTTTATTTTTCTATAAAAAACGAATCTGTGTGGTCCTTTATCAAACTATCAAATTATATTCCCACTTTTGTAGCCAAATTGGAATAACACCTATTTTTTATATTTGTTACATGTTCCCAATCACATAGCATAAACTAAAAACAAATTAAGAAATGCTTCTTGCAGTTTACATTGCTTTTACTTGGATTAGGGTTTTAAGGGTTAAAAGCTCTTGCTTCTCTTTCTTTGAAATGTTAGGAAATGTTAGGAT